TAACTGGAGCCCCTCGCTGGGAATGGGCTGTCGCGACGGGGTCTGGTCCAGCTGCATGTTAAACAAGGATGCCAGGGCCGACTGAGCGGCCCGAGCTTTTGCCAGCTTTTTATTCCTTCCCGAGCCTTCAAAAGTCTGACCGTCCACTGCCACGGCCATGACAAAGTTTTTGGCGTGGCTCTCCCCGCTCTCTGAGAGAAACTCATACTTTAGCCCCGGCCGCAGCTCGTTCAGGATCATGACGGGGTTCTTCCCGCTGGCAGAGGGGTAGGGCGACGGGGCAGGGAGAGGCGACTGGGAAAGGCTGCTGGCTACGGCAGATGACGGCAAACCGTAGTCCCCGCTAGAGCTAAAGGACCCGTCCCCATTGGACCCTAGGTAAAAGGAAGCATCAGAAGGGACTGGCGTTTCGAAGCCATTGAAAAGGGTGTCGGGGAAGTCCGCTTGGTCAGAGGTGAAGTCCGTGTTGACTGACAGAGTCCTCCCCATTGCCAGGTGGGCTTCCGAGGCGTTTGGAAATTGGACGAAAGACCGCAGAGCCTTCTCGGCAGCATGAAGCTTGGCTTTCTTTTTTGTCGGGCCAGACCCCTCAAATACCTGCCCGTTGACTTCGACTGCCATCACGAACATGGGGGCATGGACCGGCCCTGTCTGGGAGAGGAGTTTGTACTGTAAACCAGGTTTAATCTCGTTAAGTTGCATCAGGGCATTCTTTGGCAGAACAGGGCCGGGCGTTTTCTTCCTCTTCTTCGGGCGAAATTTGGAGTGGCCATTGTTGCCCTCCTCCAAAGGACGCTTTCTGCTGCTGCTGCCACCGCCGTTGGAGAGCTGCGTCCCCTCCCCAGCACCTTGCCCACCGCCGTCCTTGGGGGGAACGTTGTCCACGTTGCGGTTTTCTTTAACATCGGTGCTGCTCGAACCTGCGGTGCCCAGAAAGAGTAACTTACAATGCCTTCGTTGCAGGATCTTGTAAATGCAAAATTTATAGATTCCTTTATCTCTCTTTGTAACTGGTTAAGTGATGTGTGCTCACACGTTAAATGTTTTGCAATACCAGAAGAGATAATAATAACGCAATGCAACCTCTCGACAATTCAAAAAGTTAATACACTCGAGAATGATTTCCAAACTACACATCTGATACCATCATATGGCAATAAAACACTGCAGCTTTTTTTCTTTTTTGTTTTTTTAATTTATATCATGATGGAACAAAACTTTTACTCATAAGTTACATTTGGCCTGAAAAATGCTTTAAACCAGAAATATAGGTTATAGTAGCATATACCTATAAAACCAAGAACTACCATTAGTATAATAAAAATGGATGCTTAAGACCAGTACTAGGAGATGGATAATTAATTTTACTTTATTCTTATTTTATTCATGTTACATTCTTTTTCTCAGTGACTTTAGTTGCTCAAATTGAGACATGACATAAATAAAACCTAAGCCACAAAAAATCAGGCAGTTTTTTGGTAGGCATCTTGACTGAAGAGTGTCTGAATGCTTTTGTTTCTGTTTAGCTATTCCATATTCTCCAAATTCAATTCTTTTTACGCTTTTCCTAGACTTTCACCTCACCCCAGTTTGCTCACGAACTACATGCTCTGCCAGCATGACCACAAGACTACTTTATGTATTTCCACACAGACTTCTATTAAGAAACCTTATATTTGCCATTTACAAGCTATTTTTTAATTCCTTGCAAAGTAAGAAAACGGCTGACATGAGAGTTACAAACCCAAAAATCACGATAAAGATCCTCTCTTAAAACACCGTGGAATACAAGAAAGGTGACAAAAGCTGCACAATCACGATGATGACATTTTAACGGGGGAAAAACAGGCATTGTAATATTAATTTAATGATTTATTTTCTTAAGTAGAAAGTTGGGTAATAATATGTCAGAGGTATATTTGAATAATTTTATTTGGTAAACCTGCAAAGACCTCATTTTTATCCTGATAAAGAAACTAGAGAAATTAATTATTTGTGCTTTATAGTGGCATTTATGAATGACAAGGCAAATTTACTAGGTCAAGTATTTCTAACATTTCTGTTCTGAGACTACAAAATATCTATATTTACATCTACACTGATACTAGGTGATAAACTTTAATTGAAATGAGAGCAAACCGTGCTGGAAGCTCCCTTTTCAATTTCAACCACACCTTAAGTCTTCCCTAAGAATCCCCTACCATGCACACATCACTTCACCCAAGTTACAAAGCTGATGGAATGGTTACTAAATTTTCATTTATAACATCCTCCAGCAAAAGCTCGATAGGTTACTCCTTTCGGTGCTCAAAGAGAAAAAACAAGAAGAAAAAAAAAATCAAGAGAAAAAGCCAAAGTAGGAACACATTTTGTTAAAGCACAGTAGCACAACAAAGAATTGTACAGTACTGAACATTAAATTCCAGTCAATTATATTCGGTCAAGAATGAAGCACTAAATATTCTGAAGCATTTCATTGCTAGAAATCTGCTAAATTTAATAAAGTATCCCTTGGAATGTTCAGCCGCAAATTGTATTTCCTGCAGAACATGTGTTATAGGGCCACAACTGTCAATATACAGTGTTCATGCATATATATTCTTTTTTTATATACATATATACACAGCGAAGAAATCTAGGAACAACAGAGTGAATTTTTAAATCTTTCCTTATGGTGAGTTTCTTACCTGAAGCTGTAATCTCCAAAAAATTACATCTCATCTAAAACACCATTTCTGGAACATTGCTTTTACCAGCGGCACCAGGAATTTGCTACCAACCAATATGACTTTTAGGCTAACTAGAAATATTCCGTTAACACAAATTAATGGCCTCTTTTTACATGAAGACTACTACCAGTGCCTGTGGAAACCACAGAAAGAAAATATCAGTTGAACAGACTCCAGCTGAACGTAAAAAAAAAAAAAGAACTCTTGCACGTAAGTACAGCAGCTGGAGGAACGCCTTCATCCATCTCATGGCACAGGTAGGGGAAATGATGTCCTGACAGAGAGGAGGGACTCATAAGAAGCAGGAAAAACTTGCATGCTTACCTTGTCTCAATAAGAAAGAAGGGAAGAAAACTACTCCTTGCCTGAGAGCTACTAGGCTTGTTAGCTTTGGAGAACCTGCAGGGTGGAAGAAACTAGGAGACAAAGCAAGCAGGGAGCTAGCAGCCTGGGTCAAACTCAGAGACCATGAAAGGAGGCAAGTTTCTACATCGTGGAGGTGATCCACATCTAAGCTGTGCATGTGATGGAAAGAAGACTCTCCATGCAAAGCAGACAGACCTGGGTTTGTTTCAACCCACACAGTCACTGGACTGCAAGAAAGAGCAACTGCTTCTCAGGGTGAAGGCGTGCTTTTGGTCCTTTTCTTTAGCCTGCCCTGCCCAGCACTGGTGAGGTCCCCTAAGTACCTTCGGGCTGGAGAAGAGCTGACAGATTAGTCAAAAAGCAAGATTAGCTGCCACCACCTGTTAAAGCCAGAGAAGCCATCTCATTTCATCTTGTCCACGATCAGACATGGAGTAACTCCTCCAGCCCAGCCTCTCCTCCCTGTTCAGAAACAGCCCTCCCTTCCCCAGGCATCTCACCTCACTGGAGGAGTGAAGAACGGCCTCACTGCTCATCCTCACCTCGCCCAGCCCCCCACCTGCGACGGGGCCACCAGTGGACCCCAAGAGAGGACATAAAACAGGAGCAAGGACACAGCGGCGCTTCCCCAGGCAGGCTGTCAGCTGCAGGGAGCCACAGGTCTGGGCTGTCCCGGAGGGATGGCAGGGAGCCACCCTTGGGGGCTTTTCCTCCCCAGGAATCTTTCTAACTGTTTTTCAAGACCTCATAAACCCTTGGTATCCACAGTGTCCTGGGCAATGCGTTTCACATTGCATGAAGACATCTCCCATTGCTTGCTTCAAGCCCCATCAGTTAGTCTCACTGAAGAGCATCTATTATTTTTTAATTACTTTTTTTTTTAATTTGATGATTCCAGTATTAAACACCCTGTACTGCTCATGATTTTACTGATATCTCTACTATTTCAAACTTGTCAACCCTCCTCTACACCGCAGGGCTCTACCTGTCCCTTGTCCTGAGGTCGTCCTCTTCTCACAGCAGCAGACTCTATATTTGTTTTTCTTGCTCTATTCTGCAGCTTTTTTTTTTTTTTTTCGGTAATACACTCTTTTAGAGACTGTAAGACTTTGGGGAGTCTCTCAGTCATTCCAAAGAGAATGGGGGAGGGCATCTTCACCCCCAAAAGTGATCAAAGAGAAAGGCCAGGACAGCCACATGCTAGTATCCCAGGTTTTCTCCCTTGTCCATAAGGCAATCAATAAGGAGAGGCAACAGGGTGAATTTACACCTAGAAAATTATTTATTTCTATTGTATCAATGCTTCCACAGGGCGCTCTGATTTGACATGGAGATAATATGCAGGTGGGCTTCTGGCACAGATTCCTGGGACCTTCAGAGTGCTGTGGACATACCTTCCATGCAAAGCAACGGAAACCCAAATAAAAACATCCTAAAAATCCCCAAACCTTTCCCCAAATCTCTTGTAACATCTTCTCTATGTTCAAGGGATAAAGAAGGAAGACCTTTAAACCTGAAGTCCTAAACACTGTATTTTCTCACGGATATTAACGTACCCTCATCACTGTCTTACATTTCAGCTGAGCCAATACAAGTTTAATTCTGGCTTCTGCAGAGCAATTCTAGTCATGCAACTGCAAGCTACAAATATTGCACATGCCCACCTTCCTTTCCTGTAAGATACTTCCCCAAAAAGGAATTACATAAATAAAAAATTAATAGGCAACTTTCAATATCTCACTTTGCAATCTTAAGAGATATAAAAATACTGTAAGATAAAAAAAAAAATTAAGGAATCTTTGCACATATCAAGGGGAAGAACTGAAGACTTTGAACTTTGATTTCTCTCCCCCAAATCTGATGAGGTGACAAAGTTCAGTGAATGGGTTCCCAGACTGATGCACTAACAGACCAAAAAAAACCCAACCCAGAAGCAGACAAAACCTGAGTGCTTCACTTAGGGACATTTACAGAATGCCCATGTAAAGGGATGATATTTTCTCCAGGTCGGGAAGGTACCTTTTCTTCATGCTCACATATTCTCCTTATTGAGATAAGGGGATGTTTTATCCAAAGAATTATCTTAGGTGGATTATCCAGTTACAGCTGTTGCTTTTTTGAAGTCCTCCTCAGGGAGATCACTTTTAGGAATAGCTAAAGCATCCACCTGAAGTAACTTCTTTTATACCAAGGAAAAGAAAGTGTTAGCAATCATATTCCATACTTCAGTCAAATAAAAAAAGATGCATTCTAGTCCAGTTACTATTTTTAGGGGTTTGGGGGTTTGGTTTTTGTGGTGTTTGTTTGTTGGTTTGTTTGGTTTTTTTTAAACACAGTGATCTAGCTTCTTTATCTCCCAATAAAAATGTTCTGTATCTCCTTCAGACTGAACTAAAGTCTTCCACCCTAAAGTCTCCTACACTGCTGGGCTTTGTCAGCTTTGCCAGAGACGCACTGTTTAGCCGTTGGCACTTGGGGGAAAAACAAGCACATTTGTTATTACATCACATACAATTATTTACAGTCAGGCAGAGCACATCAGCATAGCAGCAACAGAACATTTCTCTCATTCACAAAAGATAGTGGAAAGGCCAAGAATAGTACAAATATTTTTATAATGTTTTAATGAGAAGACTTTTCTCCACAGGTTGTCAGACCTTAATTACACCAGAGTTAGCAACCTTGCAGTGCTTTGCCAGCGTGTGCATCACGATGATCGCTATATTTAGCTATTTTTGTGTTTAAACACACCTTCGCAATTCAGTAGCTCAGGGCTGGAACAAGCAGCACCTAATGAGAATAATCAGCCACGCAAGAGCTCTTCTAGCTCCTCCTTTTGCTTCTCCTTCCTCCATTTCTGCTTCCCCTCATTTATTTTGTGCATTTCAACTCCATCTCCTTTGTCTCCCCCCCTCCCTTTTGACTGGTCCCCAACCCTTGGCACTGCCACTATTCTCCCGCTCTTCTTCATTGCTGGTTCAAAACAGGAAAATATTTTGTTTAATTAGTCAGTGGTTGGAAGAAAAATATGAGACACAAGGTATAACTAGGTTAGCGTATAGCCACGTGTATTTAAAACACTTAATGCAAAAGCTCCGATTCGTTCTTCTATATTGTATTTTAAAGCATATAAATAATTTTCATTTGTGTTTCCAAAGTTTCTTCGCAGTCATCCCTGTGCTCGTGAGGAAAAAGTCACCTTCAGAAATGATTACATCATTTATTACTGTGTAAATAAGCACATCTTACTCATGTTTTCTTCATCGTCTACATCCATTGCGAAATATTTTTGCTGGTTTCTTGGCTGGCGGAGACTGCTTCTGTCTGGAAAACAGAGAGTGGGATATTTAAGCTTTAAGGTACCAAGATACAAGGTAAAGCATTAAATCTCCTTTAAAAGCAGCAGCCTGGGCACTGGTTTTGCTTTGGGCTGTCCACGGTTTTCACTCACTTTTCACATAATATTTCCCCAAAGTGCCTATTTCTGTAGCTGAGGTACACTCCGCAGAATTGAGAATTTGACAAGGTTTGCAAGAATTCAGGTTTTTGTATTATGAACTACAATATTTTTATCTGAAGGAGTATGTAAACTACATTATCTCTGTATCTTTTTAAAAAAAAAAAAAAAAAACAAAACCACCTGAAAAATAACATCAAATCCACTCTGCAGGTTACCGGACAGACAATTTCAGCAGTCAAAACACCGAAGATGCAGTTTGTTACCCAGCACCAAACTGATGGATGTCTGTTTGGTTTGGTTAAATCCTGACCCAAGACCCCTCCGAAAACTGAGATTATCATCAACCACTGCAAGATGTAGCCCCACATCAGGTGAAGGGCAGAGCGGGTAACGTAACCCTCTCTCCTACACTGGATTTTCTTATTAACTGAAAAATCCAGATGATATTACCTGTGGGTTATCTGGTTGTGTGGAAATAGATTTTATTACCCACAGGGATTTTCAATTCATCAAGAGAGACTGATCTAAAGGTGAATATAACCATCGGACATGCAAAATCTGCCTAGCGTTTCGTTTGGAAGAAGGCAACGCTTTTACCTAAGTCAAAAGGACTAATTTAAGGGTGATGGGGTTTGTGGTTTGGTTTCGGTTTTATTATTACTCCTGTTTGTTTTTTCCTGAAAACTAATCAAGTACTTAATATCTGTTGCATTCTGGGTAATCGCTCCAATCTCATTATGCCACGAGCATTCCAACAGAGAGCACTGAACCCAAAAACCACACAAACAAAAAAGGATCTTTTGTTAAAAGATCCATTATTACAGTCAGAAAAAAGTAGTGGAGCATTAACAGGCTTCATGTTCTTACACTGGAGTGGATCAAACCGTGGAAATTTGCATTGTACTTGCCAATCTGTTGAATTTTGGCATCTGCCTCAGCTCTTCTGAAGCATTCACAACTAAGCGTTGCGTTTGCATGGCAATATTTTTTTTTTTTTAATATAATGCATTCATTTTCAGCTGATTCTTCACCACAATTAAATGCCTGGAAAGTACCTGAAGAGAGTGAAGTCCAGTACAAACGCAAAACCGCTCTGTGATAATCTAGTCTTAACATCTGTAAATTTTGATTCCTTTTGCTGACAATCAGATTAAATTAAGATTGAAGTCCTACTTTTAAGTGCATCTTTGATCCTACTTCAAAACTATTACAGTCCACAGAAATCACAGGGCAAAACTTCAACCTTCTTTATCTAATACAATTATCTCCCAGCAGAGCTTCCGCCTTTTACTTAGCTTACTTTTACCACAGAGAGTATCAATTCTAACTATCCATGGACATTTTACTTACACTGTACATATCATAAAAGTTAATGATTGCATGGATACTTTCAGGTAAGCGTTCAGGACGTGGCAGAAGAAGCGATACCCGATTCAGCCCGAGGCTGCGGTCACATATGCCAGATCAGACGAGGGAACTGATTCTCACCAGCAGCACATCGCTACTGGTGCCAGTAAAAATACCTGGGCGCTGTGGCGGGGAAGGAGAGAGGCACGATGGTGTCTTAGGAGGATACTGCCAGGGATGGTAATGTCTTGTGAAACCAAGGGCTGAGGCTGCTGCTGGAAGGGATGGGGAGATCGGGGTGGGAAGCGGAGGTCGTTGGTGCCTTCAAAAGCGTGGGGACACTGCGGGGTGGGCGGCGCAGGAGACGCTGCTTGGTTTCCCGCTGCTGTATGGGCTGGCACAATTCACAGCACTCAAGTATTTGCTCTGTTACATTACGTTTTGCCCTTCCCTCAGCGAGGACACACATCTGTGTCTCCCATCCAGCTGCCAACGTCAAATATTTAGGAACATCAATGCTTTGAGACTTAAAGTGTCAGCACTGGTGGAAATCAGACAACAGAGTCAGAAGTTTTTGAGGAGTGGAACCACATAAACCAACACGGTCACTTGATAAGGCTGACACAATAAAATCAACGCTCAACACCAAACATGGCCATGTGCCTGCTCCGTAACAACGAATTTGTTCCATCTCTCTTCCCTCCTCTGGTGGAAAAAATCTAGCTTTAATTCCACTCTAAATTAAAACTGTAGTCAGCTGTAGCTAGTAAACAAGAGGGAGAACTTTGCACTCATGTTGTTCTTAATGCACAGATGGCATACTAGAGTAATCGGAGAGCATAAGAAGTAATTATTCAGTTTGCAAAAAGAAACTAGCCATTCCTACCCTATTTATTATTTCAGTAGACACTTCATGCAAAGCATGGAAAAGCGTGCTGCAAATCCAGAGTCCAGGTGTAAACACCAAACGTAATGAACTGCATTGTTCTGATTTGTGCTTTTTGAAGTCAGTTTGGTTTTATCTTTGCTAACATAAGAAGAAGAGAAAAAAAACCTCACAAAAAAATTCCACCCAAGAAGGAAGGGTATGTAGGGATACAGAAACAAATAACACGGCTAACTGCTCGACAGCAGTATAACCCACAGGGGTGATGCACACCACAGAAGCAGCACTGATCACCCTGCAGTCTGAACAACTGGGGAACCGTCCATCTACTGCCCAGCACACTCAAACTTCATCCTGACCTGCCAGATGACGACTTCGGGACAGGATAACTGCACGGCTTGCCCAGCGACACTGTCACTTCGAAACCAGGGGGTTGTAAAACTGCAACCACTGGCATGTAGGCGATTAAAATGTGTTAAACGCGTATACCAGAAACATCAAGAAACTTGTAGTCCAAAAATATCAGATATGGAAAAATGAAGAGCGACATTCAAATATACATACGGATGTGTAAGTTTGCAATGGTAAAATCCACGCTAAATGTTGTTATTCAGTAATTTAAAACAATGAAATCTGTTTATCCTCAACTAAAAAAATCCTCAGCACAGTACTATTTGCAATCTTCACAGCTTACTTTTCACAGCAGGAGCTAAGCAGCCCTTACTGAAAATGTAAAATGTGCCTTTAGCAATCATTACACTAATTAATGCTACGTCTCTAATAGTAGAAGGAGAAAGAAATATATCTCTATGTTTGTCACCATTTCACACATTGTCTCAAAACCAAAGCCCACATGCTTGCAGATATCCTAAATTTCCTACCGCCACCACCAGACATTTCTGATCATCCCAGTTTGTTACCTGGAGTGTCTTTGCTCAGGCAACACAATTCCTTTTCGCTCCCCAACGCTGCCTGGAGAAGACACTGATTTAAGTAACTGAGAGGATTCTGCACAAACAAAAAGGAGAGGCAGTGACAAAAGATGCAAAACCACACTTCTGAGCACAGAGAAGCTGTTCAGATTCCCCACAAGCCAGACAACATAAACTCAAGCAGATCATAAAAATATGATAAGACAAGCAGTAAAACTCCCCATTAATTTTGTCACCAGCAGTGCAGAATTTCAAGGGACACAGAGCTAAAAGACTTGGCCCACACATACTACTTCTCCCGAGACTCCTGGGAGCACCTAAAACAAATCACTGCATTTCCACAACATTTTTTTTTTTTTAAATCCCAAGGCTACGTACAAAATGACTATGTAAACTCCATCTCACGTGCATCAAAGTTTTAGGTAAACCGTGGGTTTCAGCGTGACAATCTCTCTCTCGCATCCCTGTCACTGTTCACCTTGTGTACCACAACCTTGCCGCTGGTCCGTAACAAATCCTGTTTTCCAGGGAGCATCTGCATATTCAAAGAGCTTCCCAGAGCATCGCTTCCAGCCCGGGTACACGTACATACACTCATCCTCTACGCAGCGGGTTGCTCTCCTTTCTCCATCCCTTTTGCTGTGCAGAAAACTCGTGTGGCTCCTCACACCCAGCCCAACTCCTCTTTCTGGCTGCAGTGGTTCTTGGTGTGTTTTCCCCTTCTTAACTCTGTTATCTCAGAGGCACTACCACCCTCACTGATGGGCTTGGCCTTGGCCAGCGGTGGGTCCCTCTGGGAGCCGGCTGGCATTGGCTCTGTCAGACACAGGGGAAGCTTCTAGCAGCTTCTCACAGAAGCCACCCTGTAGCTCCCCTGCTACCAAAACCCTGCCACGCAAACCCAACACACCTCCCACACCACTAAAACTGAGAGGCTTCACTCCCCAAGATGCTCGTGCCTCATTTCACACAGCACGAGACAGCTGCAACCACAATGCAAATCCCTTCAGCATCAGAGGGGCACGGATGTACTTTAGGTGGGTTATTCCTCCTCTGAGCTAAAATACTCATGGTGATCCGAGGGGGATGCAGAGCTTCCCATCATGTTTTATCCCAGCTGCAGGCTACAGCAGCCACACTCCTGGCTACTTCACTTTGGGCTGGCGACCAGGGTCCCCATCTCATCATGGCATCTGTTGCAGGGCAGTAAGGGGGAACACACCAACTGAAGTTGCCATAAACCAGCATGTTTTACTAAGCAGAGTAAAGCAAATACATCACCTCAATCACTATTCGTTTAGATAGAGTTTAAGAGTCAGAAAAGCCTGTCAAACAAACAAGTGGGAGCCGATCAGAGTTCCCTCTCTCCCTCCAACTTCAAGAGCTTCTGGATTTCATCCATACACTGAAATACGCCCTGCTGTGCTGAACGGGGCAGCGGAGCCGCCTCTACTGCTTCATACTGAAAGAATTAGTAGCCTTTTCACTGCAGGCGATTGCGTGGCTATGCTAGCACGTTATGCTAAGCAAAAACTTGCAAATGTGTGTATTATTTAACATTGGCAACTGTGGGTTTTACTGCCTTTTTTGCAGTACCACCTGTCCCTAGACCTACGGTCACTGGGGGCTGGAGCAGCGACACTTGCATCAATGCCAAGTACACAAGTACCAGCAATAACCGACGAACA